AGAGCGGTTGCCTCCAACCTACTAGCGATGGCCTCCAACCTACTAGCAATGGCCTCAACCTGCTAGCAATGGCCTCCAACCTATTGATTGGCCTACAAGGGCAATGTTCACGCGAAAACTCGCTTTTTTGAGCTCTCTTGAGCTCTCTTCCTGCCGAGCTGCCATCCACATCGGCCACAATTGGAGTCTCCAAGTCGGCTCCGTCGCAGCTCATGTCGAAGCTCTGCGAATGAAGGAACAAGGCCTACGATATCTAGTTTGAGCCTTTGAGATGTTCCTCGGGATGTAAGGCTCCAGCTCAAGTGACTCAGTGTTTGAAGTTATATTTATATAAGAGTCGTTTATTTCAAGGACCTTCAAGGACTGGCGCTGCTTCCTATGCATGTTCAATTTCCTTTTGACTCCGCACCAAAGGGCGCCAGCAGCTGCAAACCTACTGGACGTTAGTCCTGACAGAACGCGTCTGTGTTCACGCAACACGGAGTGAAAAGAACCATGAAGCCTCCAAGAAGCCGCAGGGCAACACTATCACTGGACATGAGAACCTCACTCTTTGAGATCTGCACAGCTCACGCTTACAGGATCTTCAAAAAGACTCGCTTCAGGATCTTGAGACTGAGGAACTACCCTTCTGTTTCACACCTACAACCACATCAGTTGTGAAGAAATACACATGAAACGAGAAAGTGCAAGAGTCTTCACATGCCAAGGAACACACTCACAATGGCTGTGGGCATCATCCAACCAAAATAGCTAGCAAAGCATTGACCAAGCTGCTCGTGGGGTATCGCACTGTGGCATCAATAGCTGCATCCAGTGTAGCTGGTACGCAGAGAACATCGATGGATTGGAGCATCTCCTCATGATTTAGAAAGTCGCTGCGACTCCTCAGAATCTACCGGACAGCCTGTGTGCTGTCAACTGGTCCCAGAAGTCAAAAATCACGATTTTCAAGCTTGGAGATCAGAAGATCCCTATCATCATATACATCAGGCTCCTCCTACATCATATATCATCATATACATTGGATTTGGCGTCGCACCTTATAGCTGCAAAAGTGAGCCTGTATGTTGCGGTTTATGTCATGGTGACATGTACACAGCAATGCAGTCAAGACTGAACATCTGTATACTGCACTAATCCTGGCACGCTGCCTTCTTGAGCGCAATGCCGTTTACACTGCGCGCACAGGGTCAGACTTCGTCCGCCCTGAAACCATTTGCGTGAGCTGCTGGTGTGATATACATCACCGCAAGGGTGGATGGTGATCGTCGCATTTTGCGATCTGATCCACCTCTGCTCATGTTCTCGTACTGCCGATGACAGGACTACACTCTGTTGGCATTGTGTCTTCAATTGGCTCTCACAGGCTTCGAGTGCCTGCGTCAAAGCTTGAATCTGCTCATCTCTGTAGTCAATCTCACTGTGCAGTTCATCAATCCTCTCGTAGAGCTTGAAGACGATGTGAGGATCGTCCTCTTCTTCTGTCTGGCAGTTCTTGCTTTCTTTATCTCTTCCTTCATGGTCTTTCTCCTTCGCGCACCACTGAAGGAATTTCCACATGCCCATAGCCACGCTCAAGGCTCCAACCACGTTGAGGATCAGCATGCTCATCACGGCATAGTCAAGCCACGCGTCCCCAACTTCTTCTCCTCTGCCTTCGGCTCCCGTCATGAGGCTGAGAAGCATCACTAGGGCTGTTCTCATCTCGCCCTTGTTGCTGTTCACAACACTTTTCACTTTCTTCTGCATTTGCATCTTCTGTTCCGTCTGCATGTACTCTTCCTCGTCAATCTCGATGTCGAACTCGTCCACAATGTTCAAGATGTAGGCTAAGGCTTTTCAGCCTGAACTGACTCAAACCTTTTGTTCCTATGTCTGCTGGGTTCAGCATTGTGGGGATCGGCGTGATCTCGACGCTACCGTTCTGGGCCTTCTCCTGAATCCACATCATGCCTGAGTCTATGTGTCTCACCCTGCCGACTCCTTCTCTGCAGTCATTGACCTTGCTGTTGACGAGTCACTGCACGCTTTGATCTTGGGAGCTCATCCCAACATGACAACCACGCGTCGCACAAACAGTGCTTCTGAGTCGAAAGAGCTATCGACTTCTGGCTGCGGACCTTTGACTCAATCAGGCATCCATCCAGGAAAATGCGAAAGCAACTCAAGCTTTTCCTCCTAGTCTCCTTGCAGCCGGCCAAGCCTGCGTCCGTGATGACTTCGATCAAATGATGCTGTCGCTCTTTGATATCATCGACCTCTTGATGATCGAGCACTGATCGGCCTTTCTTTGTCTTCTGGCCATACTTTGCTGTACCACTGTACCATTGAGGTAGCTTGCCAAGTGAATCACTGTCACTTGCTTCACTTGTGCATGTTCAATGGCTTCGACATCATCCTGGCCAGCATATGGATTGCATATTGTGTGTGGCCTTTCACCACTGATGCACATCATCTTTCCAACACAACTCCTGAACTTTGTGCAATCCGTGCTGTCAAGCTCTTCACCATGTTGCACCGTTGTTGATGTCTGTTGCACAAGGAATTGCCTTTGGCTTCTTCCTCCCAACTCCACACATCTCTGTCAACTCTTCTATGGTCTCACAATGATTCCATCATGTGTGATGCTGTACTTTCGTTTCAAGTACATGAACTCATCATCGATGTTCTTGAAAGGTCCTTCAATGTCCATCTTCCAGCCTGCCTTTGTCTCGAGGTAGTCAAAGAAGTTGTCCATGGCTGTTTTGCTCCCAAGCAAAAACAGATCGTCCACATGGACACTTATCAGCAGATCTTTCAACTTGAACAACGTTGGTTGCATCACATCTGCAACTCCTCCCAATGCTCTGACTGTTGCATTGAAAAGCTCAAACCATAGTTTTGCTGCCGTTTGTTGTCCAGGTAGGCATCTGTCCAACCTGTAGTACTTGTCTCTGTACTTGATGGCATTCTTCCCTCCTGTCGGCTGTTTCGACATCAATCCTTTACATCTGCCCTGCATTTGCAACAAAACGTATGCAAAGAGTCGTGGCGCGACTGATGCTGAGGTTGGTGCAAAAGTGTCACGCTTTCCTCGTTTGAATGGTCGCGCTACCAACCATGCCCCGCGGAACCATCCATGTTTCTCTTGTCTCTTCTTCCACACCGTTACCAATCTGCTGGGTATCAGTCTGTGGATCTCTTCATCCTCTGCGATGATGTCCAGCTTGGCTAGCGGCTAGCTCTTCTGGTGGCAACTCTGGTGGGAGCTCACCA